GGTATGTCTTTTGGCGTTTAATAACATTGCAAATATATATTCGTATTTGGCCGGTGTTTTTTTAGGCCTGTTTAAGTCACTTCAACCTTCCATTAGCGTGAAGCACTTAGTTTTGATAAGTGGTTATATTCGCCTGACCTTTGCAGGGGTTTAAGTGATCACCATTGCGTTGGTCTTGTATCACCTGTTTTGCCTGATGCCGCTAACATGACAGATCATAGTAATACTCTCGATGTTAATTTGGTGTTAGAACTCATTATTGAGGGTACCTCGTAAAACTCAAAGCGATACGTCACCCTCTGTTTCTCGAAATTGCCAGTAACATTTCTGCCCCGAAGACGCCTTATCTTAGAGATCTTACTCCACGAAAAATTTAAGAGAAATAAGGGTCTTAATTCAAGAACCGGGCCAATCTGTTTAAGTTTCATAATATCCTCATTCACTGAATTCAGTTCAAAGCTGATAGTATCTGTCTTCAATGTAAATATGGTTAACGTAAAGCAGCTTTTCTAAACAGGTATCTAACGGGATGTTTGGGAAACGGGCCTCAGATTTCGGTATCGATGTAAACTTCTCGTTTGAGATGATACACTTAAAAAGCGTCCAAGAAACATTAAGCGGAAACTTTTAAGAGCCGTTCAGTCTGTTATATCACAACACTTAACTGAGCAAATATGTATGTCATGTAGCAAGGAGCAGACAGAGCTGATTATTCCTTTCTAAAATGACATTTAATTACCCTTGTTTCACATTTGAAAATCTGAGCGTCAAGAACGGTGACAATCGTGTGTTGATTAAACTAGTGTACTTGAAGTAAATTCGTTATATAGAGTTGTTTATGAATTATCCACTTTATAAATTTAATTTCTAATCCATACAGAATGATTTTGCAATAGCTTTTGAGTAAAAAAAATGTGTTATGTTATTACCATGGCATTCTTGGAGTTATATTGATTTCTTCCGTGTTTCCTGTATGCTTTTGAGCAAACCGTGATACTCTTTAGAGATCAAGTTAGCAAGAACTGTTTTCATCTCAGAATACTTTCGCGATTCTTCTCTTTGGAATAACATTATCCTGATGTTGAATAGAGTACAGAGCCTCGACGTTTCGAAAGAGAAATCAGTTAACAACAGGTACTTACAAATGTTAATACCAGACTTCAAAACCGTTTCCGGTTGTATTAGCCCCGGGGTAGTCTGTATTAGCTGCAGGGTAGTATGTAAGAAATTAAGATATGGTTGCTTCACACTGCTTATGACTGAGTTTTCTTGAATTTTATAGAAGTAAAATTTCCTCTATATAAAAGGAATTTTTAAAAGCATTCCCACAAATAAGTAAAAAAAAAAGGGAAAGGACAAGTTGAGACTTCGAATCTTATTTGAAACATGACCAATAGAAACGTCCCTGTAATATTTTTTAACGAATTTATTTATATATGTTTCGTTTACAGATCATTAGCATTATAAAGTACTATACTGCAAGCTGTTGGTGAGAATTTTTTTTGGTTAATTAAGGAATGCCATTTTCCAAGAGAACCTATAAAAACAAAAGCACAGACCCTTGGAGGCTACCAAGCTAAGAGTCGGATGAACATTTACTCCTCTTTCAGATTCTATGGTGACACTTTTTTTTGGTTAAGGAATGCCATTTTCCAAGAGAACC